TATAGATTTCAAGGGCCCGTGTGGGCTGATAGAGGGCACTGTGAGTCCATCCATTGTTATTTGAAGTCCACGGTTCCTACCAGCATGTTCCTAACAGATTAGAGCGCACTTTCAACGATTGTGTATACCCAGCAAGAAATGAGACCGAGGTGTACCCCCCCAGCATGTCCAATCCCTATTCCAGACTATTGTTACTTAACACATCCCCCAAGATGTCTGAAAGGAATTCCACAGATTCCTGCGAGACAATGACCAACACAAAGCAGGGGGGGTTCTCTCCGTCTCACACCTTGCTGCATATGCGATTGTGGGGACAAATATTCGCAGTCATCAATAGGTCTATTTTTGAGCAAAGCTAAACTGGGGTCCAAATTGACTACCGTAACATGGGGTAACTTTGGGCCATTTCCTACATGTATGTTATCATTTCTTCTTAGTTAATGACAATCTATTTCAATTTCCCTTCTTTTCAGAGCACTGTGATACTCATCTAAACTTTGATGCTAAAAAAAAGGAATTTCAAAATTTATTGGTGTCTTACGGCTTAAGAAAGGGGTGACCAAAGTTACCCTGGGTTTGGGGCAACATTGGCCTCCTTTTGTTTTTGGTCTTCATCAAAACGGGGCATGAAAATCCAAATAAACTGGTTACAATGGTTACCACAAACAACGAAAATGCTAAATAATGAATAACTATGATATTTCTGAATAAAATGATACTAAATACGTCCGCATCCACTGTACGTTTGAGAGAATAACAACGTTTCAAGCCCTCTAGTGGTTACTGACCAAAATTACCCCATGTTACAGTACCAAAAGCAAGACCGAGTAGACTTCGGTCTATTATCTCTTCTATTGATTTAGACTCCTGTTATTACACTTACACTCTGCAAGCCTGTAGTCGATTTGGGACACTAGCATCCTCCCTACATTGAAGACTACTTAGCGCCCCCACACTTTCAATAGCTGCAAGGCTTGAAATTTGGATAACAAGGCCACCTGGCCCCTATTTGTTCTTTGCACGCTGCCGCCAGAGGCATGCAGAGCCTCGATCTGGCAGCTTTCGCAATAAATGTAGCCGGCTCAGTGATTCTTGAGTATGTTGCTTGTGTAATTTTGCGCGTGCTGCGTTAATTCTCATCCCATGCGATTGTACAAGCTGCCTGTTCGAGGATCTGCGTGCTATGCCGGCAGCGTGCAAAGAGCGAACAGGGGCCTCGGCCTCAGAAGCAACACGGGCGTTCTGTGCCTCATTATAGTCATAACTGCCTGATTCGTCATAAGCGTTTTCAAAATCGATTATAGAAAACATCTGTTTCCTAGGAGCCAAGTTCTTCGACATCCAAAAATTATCGTTGGCCAGTACATTAGTTTAATGCATGTAGGTCAATTAAAATCTTCCCGTTGAAATAGGCCTTGTCCGCTTTTGTGACGGACACTACGACCTAGGGGAGTATGCTTGTCAAATGAAGATTCTTCCAATAAAAGTGAAAGCAAGTACCTGATTTCCTCGGTGGAAACTAAGGAAAGCTTCCTTATTAATAGCTCAATTGGTTAAACCATTGCTGTGGGCCTGCAACCCCTGTCGTCCCACGTTTGCAATTCCCGCAGCTTACGGCAACAGTCACAGTGATTCAATTCAGAGCTGCTCAGTGTACATGTACATAGACTAGCGCCAGCTTCAGATTTTGGAAACAAAGTGGCTTTTCAATATGTGGAGAGCTTACAGCTACTGTATACCATCTATCTGTGTGCAATGGCTAACGCACCTGCCAGTTTCTTTCCAACAACGGTGACGATGTCGTAACTCTTTCTCCATATGGGTGCACCCCAGTCCATTCCATAGACAGCGATAAATCCCCACATTTCGACATTCTTTCTAAAATAGTCGCATCTCTCACAGGTGCTCAAGCTGCACAAAAATGATCGTGTCGTCTTTCGTTTTCCTTTCACGGTTTGGTGGGTTGACCAATGACTTTTAGAAAAGCTCACTCAAAGCAAACCACCACTAAACGATATATATTTCCCCAATTGCAAACGTAGCCAAAACAGCCACTTTAATAAAGCATCCCTCTGCAAAACGGCTCAACACTGTCACTTCAGACTCGATTGCATCCACATTGCTCAGAACTGGGAGCCTTAAGTCCAGACCAAAAGTCCAGTGTCATATTTGCTCAATTCAAAGAATATCTTGAGTGTGTAACTTTTATTCATAAGCTCAGCGGACAAATTTTGGCCTATTTAGGCAAAGCGTGGGTGCACCCTTTACACACGGTTCTGATTTAGTTTCCAGAAGCGCGCCCCGCGAGTCGCTATTTTCACAAATTGGCATGAAACCTCGTTTGGTCCACAAGCATCCTTCACAAATGGACGAATACTTCATTTTACTGAAATTCCCGATGGTGGCCGCCTTCAATGGCGGAAAGCAGGGACGGAACAGTGATTAAATCCACCGGCTATGCCACAGCAAATGATCACATGACAGCATTACCATGGTAATCAAATCATCTTCAGTAGGCCGAGATAGGATTTATGTATAAGATGACCAAGTCATTTTTAAGGGGAAAAGGCTGATATTAAATTCCTGTCATTACACAGATTCCGCGAAGGCGGCGTGTCGACAAACAATCCATGACTTGGCTGGAACATTTCAAAAGCCTTTTGGTGGAGGGTGATGCATGCGGTGAGGAGACATTTCCCGATTCCTGCAATTACATGTACATGCACTGCCATTTGACGGAACCCCTCCCAAAAAACCTTTGGGGTTGATTTATGAATCTGAAGAAAAATTCGACATTCCGCAAAACACCAATGCTGCATTTTACTCTTGACATTTTTGGTCGTCCCTTATCCTATTTTAAGGTTCTCGAATTATTTTCACCTTGAGAACCAATAACCTTACGAGTACAAAGTATGTGCAAAAAGGACAAAGACACGGGTATGGTGTTCCATAATTATGTACCAGTCGCATTTTTCAACGTGCATCGCATTTTTCAACGTGTGTCGCATTTTTCGACGGGCGTCGCATTTTTCGACGGGCGTGTGAGATCTCCAAAACAGATAACTTCATTCTTTATTAGACTAGTTTCGAGTGTTTTATAATAAGCTAATATGAGATTCCGATGAAACAATGACAAAGGTGGGGGTTCTCTCCGTCCAATAACTGGCTTCAAATGGGCTGTCTGGAGGTCAAACTTAAAATTTTTCATCGAAAAATGAGACACCCGGTCGAAAAATGCGACGCCGGCTAAAAAATGCGACACAAGTTGAAAAATGCGACGCCAGTCGAAAAATGCGACGCCGTTGTAAAATGCGACGCACGTTGAAAAATGTGACGCCGGCTGAAAAATGCGACGCCGGCGGAAAATGCGACGCCCGTCGAAAAATGCGACGCCTGTCGAAAAATGCCACGTCCGTCAAAAAATGCGAAGCCGGTTAAAAAATGCGACGCAGGCTAAAAAAATGCGACGCACGTTGAAAAATGCGACGCCGGCTGAAAAATGCGACGCCCGTCGAAAAATGCGACGCCGGCTGAAAAATGCAACGCCCGTCGAAAAATGCCACGTCCGTCAAAAAATGCGAAGCCGGTTAAAAATGCGACGCAGGCTGAAAAATGGGACGCACGTTGAAAAATGCGACGCCGGCTGAAAAATGCGACGCCCGTCGAAAAAGCGACGCCGGCTGAAAAATGCAACGCCCGTCGAAAAATGCGACGCCGGCTGAAAAATGCGACGCCCGTCGAAAAATGCGACGCCGGATGGCACATATGGAACACCATACACGGGGGAGGAGACAGCAGAGAGCATCGACTTTTACACAGGTGAAACATTCAGAGAAATAATAGATGCCACACTTTGTTTACGTACGCCTACGTGGGCTCCACCTGCTCTTCAGGAAAGAGCACATGTAAACAATGTGACGTCATCGGCACGCCGGCCAATTATTTCGATGTAAACAATTCGCTGTCTGCACGGGTGTTCAAAGCCGGTACACTACTTTGGGTTAATACTTGTTGCCCTTATTCAGCATGTAGGGCCTACATGTATGTTTAGCGAGCAAGTTTCACTCGCAAACGAAAAAAACTGACCTGTGTTATTGCTCAAATTAATTCCCTCCAAATGAAAGCTGGAAGACAATCTTAGACCACTGAAATGCACGTAATGCCCTTCCCAGACTGCTATAGGGGTGATCGATGTGCGTGATTGTGGAAAACTCCCTCAAGCAACTGTCTCAGTATACACGTACAATGAGTGCCATAAATGAAAAGTGTAACCGTTAAAGTCAAGTCCAAAGGTACAGCTATCATTTACAAGCAGCATCTTGACAGACAATGTAGTTTATTGGAGAAGCTCGTGTGTAACGGTCATCATTAGATCTCGACATTTGATACACAACCCATAAGTGATGTGCGTGTACATTCTATATAATGCTCATCTTGGCATTCCCGTTCATGGACGCTATCCAGTGATTTTCCGAAGACGTGAAATTGCAAGTCTTTCTGAAGCGTTAACTGAAAGTATGCATGATGCTTTTTGCCAAATATTGAAATACCAAAATCAGTAGCCTTCATTACATTTTTGTGGCTCTGTGTGAAATTGTGACAAATTCAAGCATCGAGCTAAATATTTTCTCATTATTTCACGTATGCTTTACACAATGTACATGCAAGTATCATTCTACTGATTACAACGTTTTCGCATTATTTTGCCAGCGGGGATTACGAAAGTCTGTATGTTCTAACACTAATAAACAATTCAAGTAGAATGGTGTGAAAATGAATATGTATGAGATACACACTGTACATGTAATTGAAACTTCAAATAGTGTGTCACTTTCATGATTGCCAGAAAATCAGTCGAAAACAAACCCATCAAGTAAAGCTATCTAACAAGTGAAACAAGCTCGCATCAATTTAAGTGGACTAACAAGAAAGAACCCAAATAATAAAACAAAAATATGTACATACAGTCTATGAATCAACTCGTGAATAACTGAAAACTGTTTATGGTAATACAGCTAACAGAACAATTAAAGCAACCTTCTTGAAGCACATCATTAGTTAAACCGTGGTTAAACACGACAATTCAAACATTAATTAACGACATGGATATTACAAAAGTTCCTGTCAGTGACACACAAATTATGCATATGGGTTTTGCAGGCAAATGGCACCCTGTCCTTACACTTCTATATTCCAAAAATACAAACTAATCAAAATCGGTTCTATTTTGCAAATATCCCATTCGCATCAAAATGGTTTCTCAATCGACATACAGAGACCAGATCACTTGAAAAAGCCACCCACTAAGATACGTTTACCCTTCAAGGGTATGTGTGTCCTACGCCTAATCACAACAATGCAAAAACTGGGGTGTTAAATTTAACACCCGCGGTGTTATCAGAAGACAACACTTTTCACTGGTGTTAAAATTTTGGTGTTATTTGGTGTTACTTGTAACAGCTTCTAGTGTACTGTAACACTTATAGGTGTGCAAAGTAACATCATCAGTGTTAAAGTAACACCCTATGGTGTAGTCATCTGATAACACCCAAAAGTGTTGATTTTAACACCCGAGTTTTTACAGTGTACATGTACATACCTACTAATATCGAATGAGCAGAAACTACCAAAAAAAAAACCAATGAAACCCAAAATTTTACTGGTGGTTTGGATTCACTTTTTTCCGAGATCATAGATAAAGAATGAAGGCGACAATTTCCAGATGGAAAAAATATACATGCATGAAAGGCCTTATAATGTATGTATTTACATTATTAAAGTAAAACTGTTTCGGTTCATGGAACCTTGAAATGCCCAACGGGTGGAGTCAACTGTATCCTTTTAATATCCCTTGAAAATGACAAAGTCCACACGACACACCTCTTTCTATAAGAAACACAGTCACTCACAACCAAAAACAATTTGCCTATACACATATTTAACTTGCGGCATATGCATTTCAATACCCCACCCCATTTTGTTGGGAGGAAAGCCTAACGTAAAATTGATTATCCTCTGATGAATCAAATGCGTAACTGTAATTTCTTTCTACATGCATTCAAAAAACGTTTTTACTGTGATACGTTTGAAACATCACTTTTAAACGCGACAGAATGTAAAGAAAATAGGTTACAAAGCAGGAACTTTTAAACGGTTTGAGCAAAAATGCTGGAATCCTAACGCACACTTAATCAGCTTCAACACAACAAAAAACAATATGCAAGTGAAGCCCTTCAAACACAATCATGTATTTTGAAAACTACGAGCGCTGTTTGCACTAGTTATTTACATATCAATTTTCATTTTAACAGGCAAACCGGCGGCCGCTGCCTATATGAACTGGGAAAAATACAGCTTCACAGACAACTCCAGGTATCCTAGACATCCATTTCCAAAACCAGCAATACCGAAGCATCCACCAATCGAAAAAAGGGACTCAATCTGATAACATTTAAAGACCACAGCGATGCTTCAGCATGGGGAAAAAAGCACTCCCCACTATCCCATTAGACCTTCTGGCACTTTTCAAGTGCAATCGTGGCTACTTCGATATCCACAATGGTCTACTGTTTCCTTACAATTTTTTTTTATACAAACTGCAATATGTGTACAAGTTAGCTGCACATGTACATCAATATGACGAGTGTAGAAGTAGAATAGACTAGGCTCTCTTTCATTAGGTCAGAAACGCACATTGACGCTTTCGAGATGCCAGGTGGCAGGAAAATTACTAGGAGTGTTGTGTCTCTGATTACTAAGTACATGTATAACTATAAAACAGGAAAGCACATAGCCAAGACGCCGTCTGCCATTCAACATTTCACAAGGCCCCAATTACGATCACCTCTTTAAGTCACCATTTAACGACCCATTGCTGTGTGGATGTTATGAGACACTATGGGGTACGTCAAGATAGAGGTTGGTACACTCTGCATGGGCATGGTCGGCTGGGTGGTCATGACAGATGCTAGAGACACCGGCTGGAACTCTTGCTGCAAAGAAACCGAGACGGGGATGGTCTGCATTTCAGAGGCTATGAGAGTAGCCTGCGACCTGTCACCCAAACCGCCCTCTTGTTGGCCAATCAGATTGATGGCTGTGACACCAGATGCCCCTGGTGTGCCTGCGCTCTTCTGGATGACAGCTACACTCCCTTGGGAGAGAAGTGGCACCCCAGTGGTCGACCTCACCAAGTGGGTCTCGGCCTGCATCACCGCGTTGTTGGTATTCTCGGACTTAGAGGCCCTCAGACGAGCATTCTGCTCCAGCAGGACCTCGTTGGCGGCGGTTAGGTCAGAGATCTGCTTGCGCATCACTTCCACCTTGCGCAGAAGGATCTGATTCTCCTCTTCCAGCTCCCTTGTGTCACGATTGGAGCTCCTCACCCTCTCGCGAATAGCCATCCTCGCCCCAAACTCATCACCTGAGCCTCGTCCAGTCTCGAAATCAAGGTATCCAAAGCGGTCTTCCAGAGGACGGCGACGCAAGCGATCATACTCAAACTCCCCATATCCCCCTGGTGGATAGCGGCTTCTCATGCGCCGTCGTTCCTCATACTCCATGTCACCTCTACTCATGTGTCGAAACTTACATTTACTACCGCGGTTACACTCACCCTTCTGATAATCCCGACAGATTGGGACCTCATCAAACCCACTGGATTCAGCCCCAGTGATACCGTAACCTCGGGCTACTTTTTCTTCCAGGTGTGGTGGCAACTTCCCTGTCTCTTTGTAGTAGTCTTCTTCTGCACGAGAACAGTGGAGGAAACGACAGTTGGGCCGAACACACTCTCTATTCTGGTAATCGTGACAGAAGGCATACTTATGATTGCCCTTGGACTCTACGCCTTCTAGCTCCTCGGGATGCTTGTATTTGCAGTTTCTGCCGCGATTGCAAACGCCGCGAGTGTAATCGCGGCAGATGTCATCACTGTAATCTTTCTCCCCTGTAGACATTTGGCTAAACTGCTTATCAAGTATCAAAGGCAAGCTGCTTAAATGGAATGAAACGTATTTTATATGATCTAGCAGCGAAAGCGTCAAGATATGCCCCTTTCAGGGCGATAGCACTTAATTGTTTCAATGCAGCTTCAGCAATGCTATTTCAACGTACGTAACCTTGAGGAAGGTACTTCCTTATGAGCTGGACATGCCGCAACGGCTGCTGCTGCCGTTTAAGGCTGCTTGCTGCTTCCTGCTGCTGCTCAAAAGCTGCCGGCTTGCTGCACAGGTGGCACCTGCTGGCTGCCCGCACACGGCACTCTGCACTGCAGATCACTAGACTCGGCCGGCCGTAGGTGCTGGCTCACAAACTGCGCTCAATGCATGCAATGACCGCTTCAACGCAACGGGTGTCAACTGCTGAGCGGGCCTACCGTCTGACTGAAAATCTGTTCAATTAAAAAAAGCGAGGGAAAGTTGAGGTTAGAAATCCCTTCCCAGTCGGGTTTGACGCAACCTACATTTGTATTTTTTTCTCTAAGGGCCATATTTTCTCTTGGATCTTTGGGCAAACTCACGGGAGAAAAACGATTCACCCTCCACCTTCGTAAAGTTTCTTTAACAATTCATTTAAGAAACTGAAAAACAAACTTGATGCTGAAGATAGGTCTCAAACAGTAAAACGTGTAAGGCATGAACAAAACGCCATGTAACGCGTAACGAACTGCATGTATACTATGGAAACTTCGAAAGGGGCTAATGCTTGTACAGTTAAAAATTATTAAAATATATCACCTACTAAGCTACTTTAAAGAAAAGGTATATATCAGTGTCTACTAGTTCCAGCTGCTCTGTTGGAACATGGATGAGGAGCTACTAGAGGTACTGAAGGGATCTTGAAAGGTGGACTGTGCCACGGGGGTAGCTGTCTGAGTTGAAGGAAGTCTTGATTCTTGTGCTTGCAACAATCCTCTCAAGCGCTGGTTCTCTTCCACCACCACCTTGTTGTCGCTGAAAAGGTCACTGATTTGCTTAGTCATATCGATTTTTTCAGCGTTGAGCCTGCCGATATCATCCTCCAGCTTGTTCCTGGTTCTCATCAAGTCGTTGATCAGCTCTTGGTCCGTTTCATGGAACCTTTTATGATCACTAAGTTGCCGCTGCAGATGCTTGTTGTCCTTCCATAAATTGTCCAGCTCCTTTTTCAAGTCCTTGATGGTGTGCTTCAACTTCTGAAGACGCTTTGCATCATCCTCTGGGGACTCTTCTCTCTTGGCACTCCGACTGGAGGAGCGCACGGGGCTCCGGCTCCTCACGCGCTTTGGGCTTCTTTCTCGTTTTGGACTTCCGCTCCTGTGCCTCCTTGAATCACGCTGATTTCGACCACCGTCTTCTCTTGCTCTGTTCTTCGGCCTTGCATTATTGGCATGATCCGGCTCTTCGTCACTGCTGTACTGCACAAGCTGGTTGTTGTCCCTGTTTAACTTCAAGTCAAACCTTGCTGGGATAATTCGATCCTTTATGTACGCCTGGTGCTCTTCATCGGTGAAATGAAGGTATTTACAGTCTTGGTCAGGACATTTCTCTCCATCTCTCTCATGGCGGTACTGGCCACAGATTTTAGGCAGCAGGGATAGGCCTCTAGCCCATTCTGGGTGGTCAAATTTACAATTCACACCGTAAGAGCAGCCCATTTTGCTGAGATAATGAAGGCAGACCCAAGTTATCTTGGTCTTGAGTAACTCTTTGCAATGCAGAAACCGACATCTGTTACCGGACATGCAATTGTTGACTAAATAGAAGCGGCACACGCGCTGGTCAATATAACCATCCTCATCCAGAAATGCTGCCATTTCAGATTGTAATCCTGTTCGTTCACTCAGTCAGTTTCAATTTGTTTTCAAACCTTAGTCTGAGCACTTTTAAAGCATTTGAATCTTGTCCTTTCAGTCAAAAACACCATTTCCTTTCACGCAAGAGCACAAAAGTCCTTTAAACACGCAAATCTTACTGCCTGTTAATAACTGAACAGATGGCAACCTTGTTTGCTCTTGTTGGCTCTGCACGAAACAATTCTGTTCAACTGGTCACTTCTCGGCAAACTGGTACAGGTTACAACTTCTCAGAAGGAGACTTGTCAGGCATCCACTTTCCAGATTCACATTAGATGTTAATACGGCAACAGTCGTCACTTATGACTGTTACTCGCTGTGGAATAAAGAAAGAAAGCACATTTAATCAGGCTATGGGGTTAACTTGGAGAAAACCGTATAAATGTACATGTACCAGCAATTAATTTTCTGATCATGCTCGGAAATTTATCATTGAGTTACAATCAAGTAAGCCACACATTTTAGTCTCATACCTGAAAAATGCGCCATGCAAACAAGATCTGATTTAAATAATTCAGTAAAACAAAACAATAGTTTGAAAACTCGACATTCAGACTCAAAATGCAAATGGGGTCTAAACGTTGACTAACTTTTTTGTGTGATCCACAGCAGATCTTTCACTTCCTGAAGAATCCAACAGCAAATTTTCAACAGCACTTTTCAAAGTTCGAACTGAATTCTTACCAAAACACTCATGTTTTTAGCTTTCACTTGATCACTTTTAATCGCATCTTTTATTCTTACAGCTGCTTGTTTACTTAAAGTTCCTTTTGCTCATTGCTGCAGTCTTCGGTTCATTGTTTACTTTATAACAATGAAATTCTTCCAGGTTTACTTTCTGTTGTTTTATCATGAACTTGTTACCGATTGTTTTATCTTGTATGATTCTCAAAGGCAGCAGTCCTACATGTTCCACATTTCATGCATTCCGAGGTTTAGCTTCCATATCACAATACTTGTTCTCGTGTCTCCTGTACTTTATCTTTCCTTGTTGGAGCTGTTTACTTTAACAAGAACGTTGCTATTACATTGTAGCATTTCACGCAACTTCACATCTGTTGCTTTTAACAAGGTCACAAATGGTGCACTGTTCTGCAAAAGAGGCTTGCACACACGTCCATAATGCAAAAGAAAAAGATAGGTGACGTTTCACCAAGATGCGACCTAGATGACAGAAATGAATTACAAGAACATATGAAATCGAGGGGCAATCAAATTTTACAATACAAGATCGAAGTCACAAAAGCCCAGATCATGGCAACAAGCAGCACCTAGTGCGCAGTTTATGGGATAGTTTCGGATTATGGTGTAGCGAAAATTTTGTACACACCAGCAGCGTACAAAATGAACAACTATTTACCTATCACGCTTCTTCAAGAGGGTTTAAGGCAAAATGTGCAAAACGCGTATACATAAAGTCCTTGTTTTATAAACACTCCGAAGTGTAAAATGTGTACAAGTTCTTTACATGTACTTGTACTTAGTGCAGTATGCAGGTTTAAGTCTACAAAAACTAACTGAAAAATATATTGACGGAAAAGCACGGTGCGGGTTACAAATACATGTACGTGTACTTTATTAAACAATCAAAAGAAAGCAACAGGAACACTGCAATAAAAAGTAACAAGAAAATGACACGAAATGAAACCATTACAGAGAACGAATGTTAATTAACAAGTGACATGTCTGATCTTAAACGCCCACCCTTACTGTGCTGCCGCCCTGCTGAGATCCAACGACAGCATTTCTCTGCTACGAAAGTGTGCAGCTTGCTTAACCCAACAGAGTCCCAAAGCTTAGGACAAAATGCCTTTTTCCTGCTGCTGATCAACAATATCCAACAGACAGTGTTCACTTGCAAAAGAACTTTGTGGAAAAAGTGTTCCCAAGCAGGTTTCGAAGTGCGCCCTTTTTGACTAATATCGCACATCTTTGCAAGTTTTGAAACGACTTTACTAACCTAAGATTGGAGAGGATTCTTAAGAACAATAAACATGTGCAAACAATTCACTGAGCGTATACTGTTGAAATCTTTGTGTACAAGAAAATCGAGGTGCGTCTTCAGGTAATAATACAGTGTATATACATAAATTATTAATAGCAACTTCATCTTGGGCAACAATTTAATACCAGATACTGAATTTATTTATTTAGACTGAAAGAAAACGACTTAAACTGCTGAACACATTACGATTACAACTAACATTACATCTCTTTGTTTCATACAACTGATTTCTTCTGTATACACCTCTTCATCCATTGTTGTGACATCATAAAGCAAGTGAAACAGGGAAAACTGAATGCATGTTCGTTCAGCATGATATTGCATTGAAAAAGCCGGGGAACAGGAGCTGGTCATCTTTTGAAACGGAGAGACAGTTCAATTATTCATGCAAACAATGCATATACATGTGCAATGTGCACTGTAGATTACAAATAGCGCTGCTCCTTGCACACTTGCCAATGTCATAACAAATTGTACAACTCAATAAAAATAACATTTCATCATTTGATGATCTTGTACAGTGTTTCCTTAAATTTAAAAAAAAAATTATAAACTTCACGCGTCATGACTTGAGAACGTATGCTTCAGAACTGTCCCGCATACAATGAATAAAAGTAAATGGATTGCTTTTACAAATTAGAAAATGTTTTAACTGTGAGTGCGCATTTGTGATAGACTACTTCCACTACAGAATTTTCATTTTTAACATTTATCGTATCGTATTTTTGGAGCATTGAAATACCACGTCTGGGGCAAAGACATAACATACCACGAGACATGCCTCTCCCCACCCCAATCCACAGATTTAGCTGGTTTTCAAAGCAAAACCAAAGTTTTTATGTTGTCATCTTGCACGGATTATTTTTACAATCGCTGCAACTCTACCTGTTTTGTAACAAAAATTGATACATGTACATTCCACGTTATTATGATTTTGTACACTGAATCGGATACCAAACCAAATCTTTCCAAAACAAGGTCCGTTCAGTTAAGATTGTGTCTAAAAACCTGCATGGTTAAGATCGTGAAATGTAGGTTTCAAAATGAGCAGTGAAATGGTGCGTGTAGCTTTGCACGTACCTACTGACCAAGGACCATCAACAGTTCAAAGCTGAACCCGACGATACATGTAATGTTAGATTATCTTGAAGAAACATAGAATCATCCGAAAAGAAAGTTTTGTCTAACTAACCACATCTGGGGATTTACCTGTAGCCAGCTTTCAAAGCCAAACGAAGATTTCCTATTTATATGCAACTCAAATCATTTCTACAATCGTTGCATCTCTGATCTAAAAATCAATACATGTACGTTCTGAGTAATGATTATGTATCATCTAATAAAGTAATAAGCCACAGCTTAAAAAAGCAGTAACCTATAACATGTATTTGGAAGTTGCATCGGTGTGGCCTTTCAAAGAATCTGATGACAAGAGCGTATATGTAAATACTATGCAAATTAATTTAGAGCATGTCTGGCCACGTTGCAGAACTGAAAGTGGGAATTCACAGTGGAGGAGCGGCACTTCCTAAAAATTCTTACGAACTTAATGTGCAAGTTGAAGGGCCTGCGGTGCAGAATAACATTTGTATAACTCTATTACATCGATTATTCTTGGGACCAGCTACAGCCTTACCCTCAAAGAAAACAAACTGTATAGTTCGAAAACAGTCACAAGCTTAATTTGACAGTTGGTGTAAATTTACCTGTTTTGGTAGGGGATACAAGAAATATCTCAACCAATTTGAATGATTCGAAAATTGAATAGTACTGTTCGGTCCTTATAATTTTTTGGACTGAACCCTCTTAAATTCTTTTGGCAATATCCGAATTGTTTTACAGTCTACACAAAAGAATTATGTCCAGCAGGTGGAATTTAATAACATGCGTAACTGATTTTCTTTTAATCACTATCAGTCTCTAAAACACAAGTTTCTATGGGTATACCACCATTGATGAGAGCACATTTACATGCACCTAATAATCATAACCTGAAGAAAGGCGGCTTTCGTAACCTGGGCGATCAGAACTGTATGGAGCAGCGCGCTCAGACTCAAACCCAGTATTCCTGGCAGCAGCTCTAGAAGTAACGGGATCAAGAGCGGGAGCATGAGGAGCTGGAACTGCAACTGGCCTGTCTCGGAGGTAACTGTCAAGATCACCCGATGCAGCCTCCGCTCGATGGGGTGGGGCTCTAGGTGCCTCAGGGTCGCCACGAAGACGCCTGTTCTCGTCAAGTAGGGCCTTGTTATCATCTGTAAGGTCCAGTACCTGGCGGTGTATACGGCTCAGCTTGTGACGAAGGACTACATTCTCATCTTCAAGATCATTGACCAGCCGCATCAGGCTGCGGACGCGCTCTCGATCCTCTCTCACAGGAGGGTAGAATGCATTACGGTCTTCCCAAGGAGGCATGGGACGTTTGCGGGGCGGACCACCATAGCCGTAGCCATCTGATCCAGGATGAGCAAACTTGCATTGGCTGCGGAAGCATTTACCATTCAGAAAGTCCTTGCAGACCTTCTTAGCCTGCTCAGACTTGATCTGCTCTTCTGCACCGGGGGGCAGCTTACCCGTCTTGTTGTAGTACTCTTCCTCCTCCTGGGTGCAGTGCAGATAGGTACAACCCTCACGTGGACATCGCCCATTCTGGAAGTTGTGGCAGAACTTAATAACCCTCTTCGAGCCCTGTAATCCAGGCGGGTGCTGGAAAATGCACCTGTCACCCCGGCTGCATTCATCTCTCAGGTAGTCTCGGCAGATTTTATCTTTCATTTCATTGGACCCTTCTTTCAAGTCTGGGTGACTGAACTTACAGTTGGAGCCCCTGTCACACTCCCCTCGCAAGTATTCTCGGCAGACCTGGGTGTTGCTGCCATTGGCCTCCGACTCGCCGGACATCTTTCAGACAGATCTTTTTCAGCAACACAAAAAAGACTGCAGAAGCAAGAACCTTCACTGTGACACCAGACCAATTAAGGCCAAAGCACAACTAAAGTTCAGGTTTGGTATTTTTCACTGATACTGCAATTCCAACTTTTCACGCAGCAACTGTAAAAAAGAAATGGAAAAATGAAGAATAAACTTGTTAGCAAGGTCACAAAATGTTATAAACAATATATACCATTTTCTGTACTCATGGGACAAAGAAATACTCTGTAATTTAATCCCCAGCCCAATCAGGTAAAATGCATTACATTTTGCATGACCTTTTTGCAGAAAAGTTCTGCTTCCAGTTACCTGACACACCTTGCTTTACAGCACGATTGCAACTTTTTACGAAGTAAACAGCAATAAAAAATAACCAGAAAAAAATTCCTGTTGTCTTTTCTGTCTTTACAAAATGCCTCTCAACAATACCTTTACACCCAAAAGGCTTGGTATTTATTTGTTTGCCTATTTACTTGAGCTATCTTCGAGAAGACATGTTTATTTTCACTTGTTCCCGTGTGGTTCACTATCGCAGTGATGAAAATTTGCATTTCCATTATGCTTGCACTGAAACAATGCTTTCCTGGTTCCTGCCGCATAACACACTAAAATTGCAAATGGCAGGATAACGCGGCAAACCAGTCTTTGACTGGCCAAATACATGTGTCACAAGAGGGCGTAAAACCTTGGTACGTGTATAATGAATATTCAGCATATTTCAGGACCACCTTCCTAAGTATAGTAGCACAGGGAGTATAAAGCTTTTTTGACTTATATGGTGCAGGAAAAATTTGAAAACATGTGGAATTTCAAAATTTGTATGACATTTAGATTAATTAGCATGATCTCTGCGGGGTTAAAACCGGAGTGAAGCATTGGAGAGGCAGCAGACAGATCTTGACATAGAGAGACTCCTGATCGGTCATCGTGCAATAGCACATTTTGATTTCGTCGATTGAGCGATAGCTCTACGAGATAATTTGAGAAAATAGAGATAGTTTCTGGCGACAGCCCAAATCGTATATTTTCTTCATTGAAAAGCATTATCTTAGCGTAAATACTTAAGAAGTGAAATCCACTTCTTGGAAAGCTAACTCCACAGTTGAGAAGTTAGTCTACGGAAACCAACCGCTTTTTCAAGCCAGGGAGTCAGACTTTAAGACTGTTTGCTCGTCTTAAAACTGACTCCCTTTAGTGGAGTTTTTCGTAGAATATTCCTCTTTGAGGAAGAGGCTGCCCTGTTACCCTGGGAATGGAGGACCTAGAAAGGGGGACTTGCGACCACACTACCTTATCAAATCGGTAGAGATCCCCAGAGCGTTCAGCTGGTAGAGCGACAACACGCTGGAGGACATATACAAGTACCCATGTGGGGGATAGTAATATAATGAATATAATGAATACTAAGTAATAGCCTGAGCCTGAAGGACCTAGCGCTACAAATTACTACTTCTGGCTAGGTTACTTCCATTGTTACTCGTACAGAGAACAAAGCCATATATTCGTAGTGCCACAGCACTGTATGGTACATTGTCTTATCTACTGTATTTTATGGCTTCAGAGAACAATACGGTCATGTCCTCTTAGAAGTAGCAGCACTGACAACTACATTTTACCACAAGTAGTAATTTGTAGTATTATGTAGGGTTAGGGTTAAGGTTGTACTGCCATTACTTGAAGAGTGTTTCCATAAACTTTCATGCCATTACATAAGGTTCATCACTTGCCCTAGTACTGCATCAAACATGTACATGTACATGCTTTAACTGGCAATTATTGCAATATATGGGCACTGCTGGCCAATTTCCCATTGTGACCAGCGTTTTGCCTATGGTATGCACGACCTAAATTCTGTATTATTTC